TTTTTTTTTTTCTGCGTTTTTGTAATTATTTTTATTTATTTATATTTATTTCCACATAGTTTTTCCTTATTTTTATTGAAAAGGTGAATAATAGAAACAGTTTAATAACAAACCATTAAAAGTATGTTTCAAGCATCAGTTAATCAATATTAATTTTATATATTTATATATATTTTATAGTTTTTTTTTTTTTTTCCGTTTCCATTTTAATTTTAGTTAACATTTTAGCCTTTTTTGTTTGTGTTTTTGTAATTGTTATTATTACTATTATATAATTTATTTGTCCACATTTAGTTTTACTATAAAGAGTGTGACATTTTAGCCTCCTATCATATCTACAGTACTTGTAAACATAATTACAACAGTGGTGAAATTTTGCAACCTTGAAAATCCCGTGTTGCAACATTTGTACCAAATTCATCCCTAAATACAATATGCATAAAGATCATGGTTTTAAAACCAGTAACTTCCTAAAAACACTTTCAAGGGTAGAAGAAAATACATTACTACAGTCTCCAAGGGTTGAAGACTAAATAACACAGTAAATGAAAGAGTCCATTAATAATCGGACAAAAAGTCAAATGCGTGACTGTGTCGATGAAACCGTGTCTTACGTTCTTCGCCTGCATGTCTGTGAGCTCCAGCACGGCTCTCTCCACCTCTTTGGGCTCTTTGCTGGAGATTCGACACAGATTCGAGAGCAGCTCGAGTTTGTCCTGCTCAGATTTAGATCGCGGGCGAAACATCGAGAGTATGTTGTGAGCTGTGCTTATTCTCGTCTCACTCTCGGACTCACTGCTGGAGAAACAATCACAGACAAACTGCATGAAATCATTTTAGTATTTGAACACAGATTTTGTGTCAGTTGTTCTCACCTCGTGTGCTTTTGTCCTTTATGTAAAACCTCTCCTCCGAAGACGTCTCTGTCAGGGTTCAGGCAGATCCGGTCCATCAGATCCACCGCTGGTTCTCCCCAGTCCGCGTCTCCTCTGGCCTTGTTCAAGTGCATCAGAGCGTCAGTCAGCTGGCACGAGTGCCTGAGGTCAAGCAGTGCATGGGTCAAAGACGTTAAGATGTCCGCATCAAAAGAAATTTACAAAAGTGATTTTATGTCCATAGAAAGTACATTAAATGTAAGTAAAGTGTCTACTTTTAAGGTTTCAAATACGTTTTTGGAGAATAAAATGTCAAAATTTGGTTGAAATAATGTTACATTG